CATACATACATACATACATACATACATACATACATACATACATACATTATTCCATTCATCCATCCATCCATCCATTCATCCATCTATCATCATCAGTCCATCCTCCATCTATCCATCCTTCCATCCATCCATCTTTCCATCCATCATCCATCCATTCATTCATCTATACTTACATTCTTCCTTCCATCTATCCATCTATTCTTTCTTCCATCCGTTCATCCTCCATCTATCCATCCAGCCTTCCTTCCTTCTTTCCATCCATTCTTCCATCATCTGTCCATCCATTCTTTCTTCCATACATCCATCCTCCATCCACCCATCTATCCATCCATCCACCCATCCATTCATCCGCCCATCCATTCATCCATCCATCCGCCCATCCATATATTAACTTATCCATCCATATATTCTTCCATCCATCTATTCATCATCCATCCATCCTTCAATCCATTCTATCCATCCATCCATCCATCCATCCATTCATCCATCCGTCCCCATTCATTCGTCCTTCTATCATCTCCATTCATTCATTCTTCCATCCTTCCAGCCATCCTTATATCCATTATCAGTTCTTCCTTTCTGGGTCACGGGGGTCTCTGGTATCCATATCCAGCAGTCGCTGTGTGAGAGCTGGGCGACACCCTGGACCAGTCCATCACAGGATTTTATTCCTAAAACTCCAGATAAACTGCTTTATTTCAACCCTAAAAAACAACTAGAAGTTGAAAACCTCGTTAAAGTTTCAGAAGCCGTGAGTCATTCTTCACGTGATGTTCCATAATGTCCTCGTTGTGGAGGCTGACAGGCTGTCTTCATGTGGGCGCTTCGTTGAACCTACGCATCGTTCAGTCCTCCCTAATGAGAAAATGGCTGCTCATTTTCTGTTCTTTGCAAACGGTGACAGAAATGTTTCGTGTCTCTGTGGAGCTCCGAGGCACCGAGCAGCTTAGCGGGTGGTCATGAGTAATTTAGATTGTTGGACATGTTCTACGTGAAGTGGTTTGGAGAGCTGTTGTGTTTCATAGACACAGTGAGGGGTTGGATCGGTCCTTCAGCTCTGCACAAACTGTTGTTGGCTACATCTTTATTGTTAGTTAAGTGTGACCATGGTTCATCTAAAGGGACAGCTTCATAGAGGAGACAAGTTTGTCTGCCTCTTAGCAAAATATCTCTTGAGCCACTATTCTCATAAACCAACCATGGGATAAACGTTGACAATAATTACTTTTTTGTTTTTTGCCTGATTCAAAATGGCCACCACAGCTAATCAACCTTAGCCAATACAAACATGGCTATAACTCAATCAGTTTCACACGGTGTAACAACATTTTAAATGTATATGAAACTTCTTTTTTCTTCTCTCATCCTAACAGGAGCGTGAGCTGCTGAGCCGGATCTCGGAGCTGCAGGAGGAGGTTTCCAGGAGGAAAAACCACATCGCTCAGCTGGACCACCAGATCCACACCCTCAACGAGAACATCAGCACTCTCACCAAAGAGCTGGAGCTGAAGGGCAAGGAGGTGCTGAAGATCCGCAGCGAAGCCAATCAGCAGATCCGGTGAGAGGCGGCACTGGAACCTCACAACATGACAGATAATACAAACCAGACGGAACAAGACACGTTTGGTCCGTGTAGGCCTGTCGCGATAAACAATAAATCAATTAATCGCATGACGAATGAAAATTATCAACCTAATTTTCATTTATCGGTTCTTCGTGTCTCTGTCTTTCTACTGAAGACACGGCTCAACTCCGGTGCTCATCACTGATCCCTCCCTTTCTCTTTTCTCTTTAAAACCCATTTTAACCGTCCAAAATTGTGTTTTTGGATCGTTAAAAGCCGCTAAGCTGAGAAGCTAAGCTACGAGCTAAGCTAACAGGCCGACCTCGGGAAAAAACCTCCGTCTTGTCGAAGCTCCAAAATTCACATTTGAAACCCGTGCCTTCGTGTAAAAAGTTGTTTTTCTCTGCAAAAAGAAGCTGAGATCTTGTTTACTGATTTTTTTATTAAAAGCTTTGTTTGAAAAATGCTAAAGAGCTCAAACCACACCGAGTATCTGCCATTTTGAGAACTGGAAAAAAGGAAGGAGAGACAGCCCATGTCACGTCAAGGGACCAAGAGACACGCTGCTCGCTCCCTCACTATCCATCCTTTGGTTCAAACACTCTTACTGTCATCCGGTGGTCAAAAAAGGTACTACACACAAAAAATAACCAACATTTCTTCTTAAATTGGACAATAATTACTAATATTGTCAAATTTCAAACAATATTATCGTTTATCGCAATAATTTCTGAGACAATCAATCCTCCAGCAAAATTTGTTATCGTGACAGGCCTAGTTCCACGTTTAAAGTCAATATTTATCACATGATGCCATTTATTGTTTTCACAGACAAAAGTGGCAAAATCTCACTTAAAATCTAATTACTGTTTTTACTGATTTATTCTGAGCTTTAAATTCAATTTAAAAGTCAAGAGTTAAAACACTGAGTTGCTACTTGTTGCTGAAGAGTCGACACGTTTTATTTTGATTATTGACGATTTAGCTTCGTTAAGAAAAATGTGTTTTGGAAACAACCGAAGTAGACGGTTTTTCATGTTTTCCAATGCATTTATTTTTTTCTTGCTTCATCGTCTTCTTCACCATCTCTGCTGCTCCTGTCGCCGCCGCGAAGCCTTCGACTATTTCTGAACTCCGTTTGTTTACTTCCCTCTTAATTACGGTCGTTGCTTGTTTTCATGCGATTGTGTTTTCGGAGCCTCGTGTTTCTAATCGTGCGAACATTTCCTCCGTGGAGAACTCCGTTCTGTTTCTCGCCTCCAGAGAGACGCACGAAGTCTGCAGGTCCTGATTAAGGCTTCGAGTGAAACGTCGCACAGTTAGAAATGAAAATGAAATTAGTTTTTCTGTTGTTTTTTTTTTCCCTGAGTCGCTGCTTGCGTCTCTGGGCTTTACAGCCTGATTTGAGCTGTAGTTTTACAAATGTTTTTTTTTTAATTCTCCTGTTACGAAGTGATGTTTTGTTTTTGTTTAGTGAGGAAACACAAACACTTCAAAGATAATCAAAGTATAAAATAAAACTACATGAGTTATTCTGAACTATACCAGATGGTGCCGTTTGAAAGAGATTACTCCAGTAGTTCTCCAGATGTATTGAAATGCAATTCTTAAATTAGAGTATGCACACATTGTAATCAAAGCCATACTTTACTCACAAAATGTGATTTTAAATAAGTAAGGAATCATCAAAGTTGCCTCCAAAAGATGCTACCAATGGTGCTGCCATTGTTGACCTACTTTTAATATCTTCAGCTGTTTTTGCAGGTAAACAAATGCACATTAACACAGATGCTTGCAAATTTTGCTCCAAATTTTCTGTAACCATGGATACAAGAAAAAAAAAAATGCAGATTTTGTTTCTATTTGATTCTCTCTTTCTTTGGCCTGTCTTCAAGACTTTTTAAGAGGTACGTTTCATGTTTAATCTTTTACTGAAGTTTCAGCTCTGAGGTCTCGCGATTATATTTTACTTTAAGAAAGAAAAGAAGGAATGCATATCTCCCGCCTCCTTCCACGGTAGCGTTTCAGACATAGACCATCTTAAGATGTTTTTGGTTAAACCTTGTAAACATTATATTTTATTAAACTCCACCCTGTGGTTCATGAGATATTTTGCTAACAGACAAGCAGACTGAAATTAAAATTCAATTAAAAAATACTTTATTAATCCCAAAGGGAAATTAAGTGTTGTCGTAGCTCATCATCCTGGTTTCATTCATGAGTTGTTAGATGCTGATAGCTGTGGGCAGGAAGGAGATCCTGCAGCAAATCCAAAGAATCTGGCCACAGATACTGATCCGTCCACACAGATCCAGCTTGCTGTCAGATCCGACGGGCCTCTCGGTCCTCCTGGGCAGCAGGACTGCCTGAATGCAGGGTGGAATTCCTTCCTGAGCGATGGTCACTGCTCCCAGCAGTGTGCCGAGCTCCTCGTCACCATAAACAGCTGAAGGTGCCGGGGGACGATCCCGGTCCTCCCATTGTCACGAGCCAAGTTTCCCACCAGGTCCAGGATCTCGGCAGTCAGGTACTCGAGCATCGCCACCAGGTTGACGGGAATTCATCCACGGCGCCGCCTTTTCAACTCATTTGGGATTTGGGGCTGTAGTTGAGGTGTTTGAGCTTTTGAGATGTTAATCGGCTGCTCCTGGTTGTTAATAATAAACGCCTTGTTGTCATGGTTACGCATCATAACAAGTACACAAAAGTAAGAAGGTTTCAGTAAAAATCCTTCCAGCTGCGCAGCATCCGATACCAGAGGAAATAATCATCCGAAAAAAGCCATTTACATCCATAAAAAAGAGGAAATTAAGTTTTTAAAAGCGGTAACTCATAATGAAAGTAACAGATCTGCTCCAACACGCAGCCACCCCGAGCGGCGCAATTCTAGAACAGAATTAACTAGAAGAACTAGAAGAAGAATAGTAAATGGTGACATTTGAAAAGCCGCTCAGTTATTAGATCAAAACCAACAGCAGTCTTTTATTTCTGAAGCTGCTTCAGATGGATCGATTGGAACCAGCTGCGGTTCTGGTTAGGCCCGTTTCATCAGGTTTACTGCTTTGTTTCTGACCCCGTTGTACCATTTGTGCATTAGACCTGTGGCACCGACCGTCTCAGGATCTAAGCCGGCTGTTCTGTCTCCTCAGGGCTCACGAGCAGGAAGTGGTGAAGAGACACGAGCGGGAGCTGACGGAGCTGAGCGCGGCCCACAGCAGAGAGACGCAGAACATGCTGTCAGACTTCAACAAGGCACAAGAGGTGCTCAAAGACAAGATCTCCGCCCTGCAGATTCTGTACGTACACACCTCCAGCTGACCCGTAGCTTTCAGAACCCTGTGGCTTTTTGACGGCGTGTGGTGCTGATACCACGTGAAGCCGCTTGTTCAGAAATGTACTGATATGTGTGTGAACGTGCTGCGGACATGCTCCTACGTCAAAGATGACCTCTTTCGTGTGATTCTGTTGACAGCACAGCGCCTCCTGGTGGTCCACTCAGAACCAGAACCACCTTAAATAGCTCCACGGTCAAAAACTTCAACAGAGGTCACATTTTATAGAAACAATAAGACCATCAGTACTCTGGTTTATCGTCTTTAGACGTGGAACGTGAGGAGAAGGTTTTCAGTTTTTGTCTCGTTGTAACCAACTTGAGTTTCTGGAGTTTTTCTAATAATTGATCTAATTTTATGTTTGTCAGCAGAGATCCCGTTTGATCAGTTCAGTCCCATAGTTACCACAGCCCTCCCTCCTGTCCTTGGTTCAGTAAACGTTTCAGCCCTGATGGCTTCCTACAGACGGATCCGTCTCTTTCTTACACGTCTGTTTGCTGTTGAGCTCGACTGCAGGTTTGAGGCGACGGTTTGTCGTCCCATCAGGACCGCTCCGGCTTTAGCCCCTTTTGACGTTCTGATCTCCACCTCTGGAGACAATGAGGACCAGATTTCCAAGAGGCTCGGGTTTCTTTGGTACTTTAAGAAACGTACAGTAGCTGTTTGTAGTTTTGAACCCAGCAGGCCTGAGGCAAGCGTTGCCAAAGCAAGGATCAGAGTCGTCGATCGCTTTGATTCGTTCTGCTTTTTGTTTCGGCACCAGCAACCCTTGGATCGTCTCTTCAACGTTCTGCGCACGGGTCTTTGGACTCTGAGGGTCTTGGAAAAACCTTCATCTTGTTTGTTTTCTGCTTGTCCTGCTTTGAGATTTTTTTACAAACCTCTGAAACTGAATTTTTTTTTAAGGACGAGATTTCTTCTGATTTTTGACATGAAAGTTTTATTGATTTTGAAGATTTTGGATGATAGAAACCATACACCCCTCCGGAGACTTCTGAATATTTATGAATTTTTACATCCAACACGAGCTTCGCTTTGTCTTCCCAGTAATCACAAAGTTTACTTTAAACTATTTTATGGCCTTTCTGGGTTTTGACGTACGCTGCTGATTGAGGAGCCACATGTTTTCTGTACGTTTGACGAGAACGCTTAGCTTCAAAATTAAGATCCTCAAGTTTTTTCTAGGAATAAGCAGCAGTCTGATTAATATTTAAGAGTTTTATAATTATCTCATTAGTCAAATCTTCTGCAGGTGTATTGGATTCTAGAGTTTATTTCATATTTTTAAGGTTTAAAAAATTATTTGTTGATCAAATCTTTGTATTTTTACCGTTTTCAAGAGAAATCTATCAAAACTTTGCCTCCTTGGCGTCATTTTACCAATACTTTTAGTCAGTTTACAAAATGAATTTAATAGCGGTAACCATAGCAACAGAGGTTTTGCTTTGAGTAAAATTAGCAATTAAATCTCACCGACATCAAACTGTTATTCTCCAGGAATTACAAGCACATCAGAAAGACTAAAAACAGACCGTTTTATTGTCGGTGGGGGAAGTTTTAAAATTTAAAGCCTCACTTTGATTTTATATTAAAAAAATGTGTAACTTCATGAAATGAATCACTCAGTTCTTTTAAAGGTCAGTTACTTTCTACAGGCTGAAAATAAAACTGTGCTTTTCTTAATGATTTCAAAGAGAAAATATGAGTTACGGCATGAAAAACTTTGTATTCATGAATATATTCAACGAGTTTTCTCTGCAGTGTATTAATACATTTGCATGATCTTATTAAACTATCACTCCTGTTGACATTCAACAGTCTGTGCACATTTTGCTTTTCCAGTTTTAAGATGTAACATCTCATGAATTGTGACAAACATTAAATTATCTGTGTATACTCCTCTGGGTGTTTAACACTTGCAGTCTTGAAACAGGCTCCTTAACATGCATTCACATTTTCTATCCTCCTCTATTCACCATAAAGTTATCAAGTGTGTTACAAAAATATAAATTAAACAAAGAAACGCCCTTCCCTCTTCATTGTTTAAACAGTCACGTGTGGTGAAGGTCTAATTAGTACTGACCGCAGCAGATCCAACAATTTTCAGTCAGGTCATCTGGACAGGTTTTTTTTTTTTTTTTTTTGCTGAAACGTTTCACCTTCCATCCAGAAGGCTTCATCAGTCAAGGAAACACACAACACAAAACTGATTCTTCCCCTAAACAGCTTACTACAAAGTGGAACAAACCAGTTATGTTGGTGCTAAGATGGTGTCTTTGGCACGCCCCCTCCTGTGCTGCCGGCCCACTTCCTCGTTGACGGTCATGTCAAACTGGTTCAAAACCAAAAAAGTCCGCAGAGAGTTTATTTTTCTTTGCAAAGAAGTAAAGATTTCAGACAAACAATGCATTTCACTGAGGATGAAATAAATAACGTTACTACCACTGATATATTTTCCCTCTACGTTAGAATTATTGTTCTGGAAAAAGTTTTACAAAGCAATAGCCTTTGCTAAATGGTAGCTCGCTAACTTGAGAGGCATGTAGCTAATGACAAGCGGGTTGGAGGAGTGAAGATAATTTAATATTGTTGATTTATTTTACAGATCAATTAAAATAGACTTATCATGCTCTGTCCAGCAAGATACGCTACACAGTATTGCTCGCTGCTTCGGCTGTGCTGAAAGTGAAACTTAAAGTGAACGACCATAACTTGAAAGTCTGCCTTCACCCTTGGCTGGATACATTGTACAATTATGCCTTTTACAAGTAAAGACACAACTTGTTCCTAGTGTTTATATCAGCACATACAGATATGTTCCCACACACCCATATCAGCCTTAAATATCAACCTTGAATATCGGCCTTAAATATCAACCTTAAATATCAACCTTGAATATCGGCCTTAAATATCAACCTTAAATATCAGCCTTAAATGTCAACCTTAAATAGCGGCCTTAAATATCAACCTTAAATATCAGCCTTAAATGTCAACCTTAAATATCAGCCTTAAATATCAACCTTAAATAGTGGCCTTAAATATCAACCTTAAATAGCGGCCTTAAGTATCAACCTTAATTATCTGCCTTAAATATCAGCCTTAAATATCAGCCTTAATTATCAGCCTTAAATATCAGCCTTAAATATTGGCCTTAAATACTGGCCTTAAATACTGGCCTTAAATATCAACCTTAAATGTTGGCCTTAAATATCAACCTTAAATATCAACCTTAAATGTTTGCCTTAAATATTTGCCTTAAATATGGCCTTAAATATCAGCCTTAAATACGGCCCTAAATATCAACCTTAAATGTTTGCCTTAAATATTAGACTTAAATATCAACCTTATATATCAACCTTATATATCAGCCTTAAATATCATTCTTAATTATCAGCCCTAAATATCAACCTTAAATGTTTGCCTTAAATATTAGACTTAAATATCAACCTTATATATCAACCTTATATATCAGCTTTAAATATCGGATCTCCTACCGATATATCGGTAGGAGATCCGGTTGGGCTCTAATTTTTAGTTTCTATGGTCAAGGTCAAACATTTTGATGGTGTTTTTTTTTTTCTGAAAGTGTGTGTTTGCATTATCTGTGCACGTTTGGTGTGTTATACTTTTTTTTTTCTCCTCACCTGGCAGGTTGGAAGGAACAGAAGAGAAGTTCAGAAACCGAGAGAGCCGTCATGAAGACCTGCAGGTCATCGCTGAGCTGAAGGACATGGTCACAGAGAGAGAGTCTCTGGTCAAAAAACTGGTGGTACGTAAACACAGATCCATCGGGCCGAAGCTGTCCATGAGTCCACTACAGCCATTTCTTGTATCTCACAATATCAACTTAAAAAATAAAATAAACATTTAAAACTGAACATCTGGGTTCATTTTGTTACCAAATCAGTTTTCCTTGAATTACTCATTTTCCTGGAGGCTTCTTAAAACAGCTTCGACCTTTACAGCTGGAAAACAGTGTGACATTCATTAAATGGAAAGAGTTATTTGGTTGAATAATATCTTACCTGGAGGGCGGGGCGTCACGTTTAGAAGACAGATGGAATAAAACAACAAACTCAGCTTTGTCCAAAGGATAAATGAAGACACCTGAGTTTATTTTCATGTAGCAGGACTCGGGCTGTCTCAAAACACGAGCATGAGAAGAACAATGCCAGGAAAGCTTAAAGGTTGCCACCAGCTGGACTCCGCTTGTGTTTTTTTGGATCCGGTGTTTGTCAGGGCTGCTGCAGTTCTCATGCACTCATCACATTAAGTGCGCTTCATGAATCAGGTGACAGGGTCTCTCTGTGATGCTGCCGTAGCCGCTCGAGTTCTGGAGTCCTGAGTTTGTGTCCAAAACCCAGAACCTGCAGGAAGCAGCTGGCAGGCTTCAAACCAGCACAAAGCAAGACAACTGTTCGATTTGATGCTTTTTGATATAAACTGCTGCATCAGCTGTGTGCCAGCAGGAAAAGTGTGTAGACGGAAGGCATTAAATGTGTGACACCCCCCCCCCCCCCCCCAACACACACACTATGCCTTGTCAACTAATGTGTCTTCCTCCTACAGGACGATAAGAAGTTCTACCAGCTGGAACTCGTCAACAGGGAGACCAACTTCAACAAAGTGTTCAACACGAGTCCTAACGTAGGAGTCATCAACCCACTCATCAAGGTAGGGCCTGACGTTCTGAACGGGTGGGGGGCACCGGGACGAACCTGACTCTTTATTTTACTTTGCAGCAAAGATTACACCCACTGCAAATCATCTCTTCTGCTGATCGGTCAGGACGGTCAGTTAGATTTTATACACAACCAAAAATCATCGCCTCGTCTTATCGACGTCGAAGGTTGAGTCTTTTTTTTTTTTTTTTTTTAATGGAGATCAGAGCGTTTTGTCAAAATGAGCAAGAAAAATATTAATTTCGGTAACGAACAATGTTCCAGTGAAAGCTGTGATTAAAGTCCATGGATGAAAATGAAGAAAGGAAAACAAAAATCTGTAAAACATCTTGTCATTTTCATTAAAGCAGCTTCTCAAGGACATACCGTAATTTCCAGACTATTGAGCGCACCCAAATATAAGCCACACCCACTAAAAAAAACTAATAATTTTGTACATGTATAAGCCGCGGGTGTCTAAGTTGTAACATGAAATTTACACGGAAAGATTTTTTAAACTTTTAATGAAATATGTACCGGTAACATACACGAATACGTACAGTAAATGTTTTTTCTGTGCCGGTAACACAGCTAAAAAAAAACATTAAAAAAACAGTAGCTTACCAGGAAGTCATGGATAGCTATCTTCACTTTCCTTCTGCGCTTGTGCTGTCCTCCTGCTCCACTGCTCTGCACATGCAAGGCATTCCCCTCCTCCCCACTCTCTCCTCCCCTCCCTGTTTCATTGGTCCACTATGACCTGTTCAGTAATTTTATTGGTCAGATTTTTTTAACCTTTATTTATACAGGTAGTCTCATTGAGTCACGAGGACTCACTCCCCAAATGAGAAGTGCATTGGGCAGCTGTGTGAGCGCCCAGGTGTGAAGAGGCTAAATGTTTTGGCGGCGTGAAGCTCGTTAGCCCACCAAAAATAAAAAGAAGCTTCTATAAATTAGCTGCAGCGTTGTGTAAGCCGTTGCGGTCAAAGCGTGTGAAAAAAGTATCGGCTTATAGTCCGGAAATTACAGTAATTACGATCAGGAATTTATTTTCTTTTCACTGCCGTGATTAACATGTGGTGTATGCTCTGCGCATCAGTTTATCGTTTCTTAACAGGTCAACCTGCGTCAGGTTGGTAAATATTAACTATAGTATAAATATAACCAGATTAAAAAAAAGGCCTCAGGTTTTTGTTAAATGACCAGAAGCGAGATCTCGGCTTGAGCTGGAGATCCTGTGACGCAGGAGCTGATGTTCATTTATCATTAAAGAGGTGGAGGTTTTTGTTTATTTACTTTTGTTTTATTGTTGCCATGTGGAGTACTAATGAGTAGTCAGTATCTTACCTGCAGTGGATAGCAGTCAGAGCAATCTCGGTTGGAAAAACAAGAGAGTTTTTGTGCGTTTTATGGAGAAAATGCACTCCAGTTCTACTCTGCATGCTCACTATTGTTTTGTATAACGAGCAGGTGCTGGAAACCACGACCACGGCGACAGTTTTAACATAAAAGAAACATTCGTGTTTGGATAGTTTTGTTCTGACTCGGCTGATGTTACCTTTTGGAAATTTTAAACATCTAGAGAAATTTATGGCCGTTATCAAATAAAGAAGCAGAAAGTTCAGGAGGTTCTGTGATGTGGAGTCTGTCAGCGTCTCAGGGTGTAGTTTCATTTTTCACCAGATGTCTAACAGCTTCCACTGCATGCTCACAGTCAGCTGATGACAAAAACACGATAACTTGCTGTCTTTGTTTTTGGTACTGCGCGTACTATTTGTTCTTTTTCGTTCCTCGTCACGTTTCTGTGTGTGACAGTGTCTTCCGCCCAGTTCGATTCCTAACCTTTTCTTTGCAGCTTTCCTTTGCTTTCCAAGCCATTTGTTGGAGTGAGATGTTTCCTGCTCTGTCACATCTCTTCTCATCTGAACTGTCATTCTGCTCAGAGCGACTGCTGCTTTTTAAGACTTCCCAAGTCTCCAGACTGAGCCGTTGTCTCTGCTCCAATCAGCTTTAAAACGAGGACGTTAGCACGCTGCTCCTCCCGTCTCTCATCGGCTGGACTCTTACGACCTCTAGCGCTCTCCTGCTACTCCATTTGCCCTTCTTTCCCCTCCATTTTTCTCATTATTTTGCTTTAAACTTCCCTGTTGCTCCCTGTTTTGACCTCGATGCCCCTCCTTTTCTTTTGTTTGTTTCTGTGTAGCAAAAGAAAAAGAATGAGAAAGCAGCAGCCAGCAGATTCAGCAGCTCTCCCAATCTCAGGGCTCTGGAGGTGGCAGGTATGGGCGTGGGTGTGGTGGGCATGGGGAGTGGGCAGCCTCCACCCCCGCCTCCAACCCCACCCAGCCGCCTAGAACCCATCCCCAACTCCCCCCTCCACCACCTTGAGCTCAACTCCAACAAACCTCTTGCCCCGCCGACCCCTCCCAACGAACCCAAGAAGTTCATGAGGTGAGACCTTCTCCGCTGACCGGCAGCAGCTGCTCAGTCACAAACGTCGTCTGCTGCGGGTTCGAACTCATGCTGAACCAGCCAAAGTCCAACCTTGAGTGCAAAACCACGATTTTAAAATTCAGAAATAATAAAAAGTAACTTTTTTATGATTTCTAGTTCTGGAAACAATTATTTGAAGTGTGATTATTTTTCACGCTTTCTTCTTTTTCTGCCAAGTTGAGCTCCGTCATAAACTGTAAGGAGCATGAAAACTGTGGGGTGTCGTTTGTAAAGTTACGCAGTCAAAAATTAACAGCAATATTTTGGTTTATTTTAGCCTTTTATAAGAAAAAAAATGTTTGTTTTTTTTTGTTTTTTTTTACAAAGTCAGATTTTCACCATGTTATTCATACATTTATAAATGTTATAGTTCCAAACTAAATATTTAATTTTCAAGCTAAATATTTAGTTTACAAACTAAATACTTAACTTGCAAGTTAAATATTTAGTTAGAAAGCAAGCTAAATATTTAGTTTACAAACTAAATACTTAACTTACAAGTTAAATATTTAGTTAGAAAGCAAGCTAAATATTTAGTTTACAAACTAAATGTTTAAGTCCAAGCTAAATGTTTAATTGACAAACTAAATATTTAACTTGCAAGATAAATATTTAGTTAGTGAACTAAATATTTATGTGTAAATTAAATATATGATTTTCACGCTAAATATTTATTTTCAAATCTGAACATTTAATTCCTAAACTAAATATTTAATTTTCTAACTAAATATTTAGCTCGGACCTAAATATTTAACTTGCTGGCTAAATATTTAGGTCTGAGCTAAATATTTAGTTAGCAAATTAAATATTTAGTTTGGTAATTAAATGGTTAGTTTGAAAATTAAATGTTTAGTTTTAAAAATAAATATTTGTAGTGGAAAATAAATATTTAGTTTGGAACTATGACATTTATAAATATATGAATAACATAGTGAAAATATGACTTTGAAAAAAAAAAATCTTATGAAAAGCTAAATAAACCAAAAATATTGCTGTTAATTTTTGACTGTGTAACTTTACAAATGGCACCCCTTATAAACTATTAGCATTATTAGCTACGATGAGTTTTTAAGTGTTGCTGTCTTAAGAGTTTACTCATTTGCTGTTTCTTACAGCAACTCTAGCTGATTTACCCAAATTGTATTTATTTTTTTCAACCAGGAAGTTCTTTATGACCTCAAAACAGAATCTAAAATTGCAGCTTTTTGTGGCCTGAATGCAAAGTGTTTGTTGCTAACTAGCTAATGGAATTAACATAAATTATTGTAAAACACCTGAAACTAGTTTTCTGCGAGACTCCTTCCTGCAGCAGCACATTCAAACTCTTTAAACATTTCTAAACGTCAACATAAAAGCAATATAAGCAGAACATGGCGTCCCACATGTGACCGAAGCTTCAATGAATGGCCTTGGAATGCAAAAGGGGCATGTTTTTATTTTTTTTAATTTTCTTTTCTTTATGGTGACCATCAGTCTGTACATGCTGACCCTGAGCATGCTGGCAGGATTTTCCTCTTTCTGTTCAGGAACTCGTGACACTCGTCAGTGTTTCGTTGTGGCTTCGTGTTGCTTTCTATCATTTCTGTGATTCAGTTTCATCATCTAAAGTCCAGCATGTTGCACTTGACTCAGAATGACATCGGTTGAACTGCACAAAGTATTTAAGGCACACACTTTAAGTTTACGATGAAGCAGATTATTTCTGTTGTGGCAGGCTTACCAAAAAGAGCCTCCGTTTCATGATGTCTGATAAATGATGTGAAACATGCAGCGCGCCTTGTTGCATGGCAGGTGGTGTGATTTAATAGACACGTGTGTCAGTGTGCATGTGTGTCTGCATGTTTTAATGCTGTTCATGTTCAATGTAGGGAGTGAGACGAGGCAGCAGCTTTGCAAAAACTCAGGACTACAACCTCTGTTACTATCAACTCCATCTTCCGTTTGTGGGTTTTGGTACGGAGCACAGAATTCCCAGCAACAGTACAGCAACCCAGTCACACAGCGACAGTCTGAGGTCATCGATCTGCACCGAAAAGATGTCCGACTTTATCAAAAGCCTCTCTGTGCGCACTTTCGTTAAATATTAAAGGAGCCGTTTTACAGCGGGGTTCTATGTCAATTGCATACATGATAAATATCTTACCTGCTGTAGGTGGCTTCTAGAGAAACAAACTTTAATTATGACAGTCCCAACACAGCATGCTGCCATGTTCAAACAGCTGAAATCACAGAAATGTTTCAAGTAAAAGTCATGTCTCACCGAGCGTCGACTGCAGGAGACTAAAACTGTGATAAAGTAGCCAGTGTTCTCTTGGAGCCTCACTGAGTTCTGCGCGCTTATTCCCAAGTGACCATTGAGCCGTGCAGCCACGTTTAGAAAATCCTGGCCTCTCTACATGTGCACAGTTCGCTAAACTATTTTCAGGCTGTGCACATTATTTTGTTGCTCACGTTGTAACCTCCTTAACATCCGCCTTCATGTTTAAGATTTAATTTAACGGAGAGCATTTTAGAAAAGAT